ATTTCCTAGAGGGTCTTCCTCTCTGAAGTTGACTTTCTAACTTTTCCCAGCACTGTGTCTTTCCCCAAGAACTAGGACAACATGCTCTAAATAGGTAAGACAAAGTTTTATCCCCTCGCCTATAAAACATGTTTGTTTGTTCTTTTGGCTGTTTCTGGGATAATCAGTCCTTTTCACCAACAACACAATTCAAAATTGCTTTCCTGATGCTGAGATGTAATCTATATTGAAGGCTTTTGATCTTTTTCAGTAAGTGCTTCAAGTCTTCCTCATTTACAGCAAATAGGGCTATGTCATCTGTCTTCCTCAGTCCTGATGTCATATTCTTCATATAGCCCGACTTCTCAAATTATTTGCATTTACAAGAGTCTGTAATTAACAGATCTTGGCCTGGGGAGTAATATCATAGAGTAGCATCTATAATTGTCTCATCTCAACCATCCCAAGATGGTAAACGTGTGTGTGCATACACACACCCACCCCTCACCACATGCATACACATACATATATATATATACGTATAAATACACAGAAGTACATATATATACACATGCATAAAGAAGGAGACAGATAGACAAATATAGGATTGTGGGGGGAAAGTCAGAAATTAGTGACCCTTTAAGGATCTGAAGGATATAGGGGTCGTTCCTTGAAGTAAACCAAGGCTGCTGGTGGGCTCACTCTGTAATTGATGTCCTCTTTTCTACACTCCCATTTCTACTTCTTCGCTTCCAAAGATGTTGCTTCCAAGCCGCTCCTTAATAAATTCCCCCTTAGAGTCTGATTCTTCACTAATCCAACTTGTAACAGTCATATCCCATTCTGAATTTACACTGTGCTTCCTTTACAAAGGAAAAACCTTCTTGGATAACTATAGTAGCGCTAGTTTCATTTCTGTTTGGAGTTCTGGTGACCTTGCTGCCCTGTCAACCCAAAGGCAAGCAGTTCAAATTCACCAGTTGCTCCTTGGGAGAAAGATGGGCAATCTCCTGCCTGTGATTTGCAGCCTCTGAAAACCTCATGAAGGTCAGCAATGAGGGGGTTCTTAACTCTATGGTAATGGAAAACCAAACTTGCCCAAAGCAAAGTCATGCCAGGAGATAATTTTGAAAAATTTTTCAGGACTTCTTCCTGAGAAAAGTTCAGAAATACAGATTTTTTTTTCCAATCCAAATTTCCTTTTCATAGATTTTAGGTAAACCATCAATTCAATAACATTGTTTAAAAAGAAGCACTGTTTCCAATGGAACTCCAGTGGCACAGTCTGTAGGGGGTTGTACTGCTAATCCCAAGGCCATATCTGTCTCTCAGTTGGTTTTCTGGACAAGAACAACAGGCAGTTTCTTCCTGTGCATGTACAACCTCAGAAACCCACTGTACCACCAGCTATGACCTGATTCTGTCCCCCGACAACGGTTCCAAATATCTTCTTTAATTCATCAGCACTTAAATGTACAGGCATTGCATACAATACAATTTGTTTAACAGCTTCTCTGGGAGTAAACAGAACTTGTATTACAGAGATAGACTTTATTTTTACAGATAATAAACTAAGTATGTTCCTTTTCTCTTCCTTTACTCTTAGAGTAATCTCATTAAGTTTGCCAGTTAGAAAGATGTAAGTAACTTCAGAAACTTATATGAGAGTTTTATACCGTACACACTTAAAGAGGAAAAACTAGCAGAAATAAATTTTACTTTGCTATAGCGGCATCCACTTCCAAAATGGCTTGCCTCTGGAAACTCTATGCACAAACAGTGATCAGGCTGTTCGTTCATAGGGTCGCTATGAGTCGTCTACGACTCGACGGCATTAAACAACAAGAACAACAACATATTAAACTTGAACTTTCTAGATTCTCAACTAAGTAGATTCACAGGTATAATTTATTAAAATAAGTTAATAAATATATAAGAAAAAGAAATCATCTCACCCCAGTAAGAATAGCAAAATTTAACAGAACAGCAAGCAACAAATGCTGGCGAGGTTGTGGAGAGACTGGAACCCTTATTCACTGTTGGTGGGAGTGTAAAATGGTGCAACCACTGTGGAAAGCGGTGTGGCGCTTTCTCAAAAAGTTGCAAATAGAGATACCACTTGACCCAGCAATTCCACTACTGGGAATATACCCTAAAGAGACCATAAATGACATCCAAGCAGATATATGCACACCCATGTTTATCACGGCTTTGTTCACAAAAGCAAGGAGTTGGAAAAAATCTAAGTGCCCATCAACAAACGAATGGATAGAGAAGCTATGGTATATTCACACAATGGAATACTACACTGTATTGAAAAAACAAGGAACTCATGCAATATTATTCAAAATGGGTGACCCTGGAGGACATTATGCTGAGTGAAATATCTCAGTCACAAAAGGACAAATATTATATGGTGCCACTGTTGTAGAATGAGGCTGACATTGGGGTGGGGGTAGGACTGAGAAAAACCGGATAAATTATGTTTACTGCATTGAAGCCGATGAGGGACAGAATAGTTTAACATTAATATATTTTAGGGCATTATGATTATCATAAGAGTTCAGAATGAGGGTTGCAGAGTGGAGCATACTTGGGGTGGGGGTGGGGATGTGTGGAGTGGGTGAGGGGATTGTGTACAAATGAAGGAGTTTGTCTTTTGCTTGTCAAGGAGAGGAGCGAACGGGGGATGGAGGTGGGGGGGTGGGGAGAAAAGTGCAACAATGAATGAATGAAATTCCAAAATCTCTGTAGATGTTGAACAACAATAAAAAAATTAAAAAAGAAAAATAAATCATATTTTAAGAATGTATTTTTTTAAAAAAACTAATAGCACTAGAACCTTGAAAAAGAGTGATTCATAACATCTTCAATGTTTCCAAGCTGATGAAAGCACTTTCTGCTGTTGGAGTCAATTTAAGAATAAACATTATAATAAAAATAAACCAGAAGCACATCTCTAGTTACATTTGATCCCTAGTGATGAATTCATTTCTATGAAAAACCAAGGCAATAATATTTGTTTTAAAATAGTGCATGGTTTCTGTGGCTATAGCAGTAACAAATGAGATGACTGTTAATCAGTGTGAAAAAAATTCTCTCACAAATACTAACTTTTGGTGAAAGTTTCATGCTAGAATGGAAAAAAAAATGGGAAAATTTTACATCAATAGCCCACAACTAAATTCTAATTAGAACATGTGAAAATAAAGTATATTTAATAAAATACTGTAGATTTAACAAAATTTAATCATGATTGAATACTGTGGTTCTTAGTTTTGGAGCCTTCTAGAATATACTAAAGAGTGAGAAATAACCACAAATACTAAGGATCAGACTCTCAGCTTCCAGAAAAAACAAAGTACTGACTATTATTAAGCATGAAAAAAGCTTGCTCAGGTAACTTTGTAACTAGATCAACACAATCATGTAAGTCAACAACCACAGGATATAAAGATTGCTTGTAAGTAAAAACTCTTATAGGAGAAAAGTATTTTCAAGTCTAGCAACTGAGGTGCGTGCGCGCGCGCGCGCGTGTGTGTGTAAGAAAGATGGACATAATAATGTTATTTGTCTAGTAATTGATATAACTCAGAATCATTAATTAGGGAGCTCTGGTGATATAGTCCATAGAGAACTGAGGTGTCTAACTCAACTCTATGGCAGGTTGAATCTACCATCAGCTCCATGGGATAAAGATGTGCAAGCTTCACACCCATGTTAATTGCAGCTTTGTTCACAATAGCAAGGAGTTGGAAACAACCTAAGTGCCCATCAACAAACGAATGGCTAGAGAAGCTGTGGTATATTCACACAATGGAATACTATGTTGCATTAAAAAACAAGGAACTCATGCAATATTATTCAAAATGGTTGACTCTGGAGAACATTATGCTGAGTGAAATATCCCAGTCACAAAAGGACAAATATTACATGATGCCACTGTTATAGAATGGGACTGTCCTTGGGGTTGGGGAGACACTGAGTAAGATGGGTTCAATAATGTATACTGCACTGAAACAGAGGAGGGAGAAAACTGTTTAAGAGATATATGACTAGGTATTTCTGTCATCACAGGAGTCTAGAGCGAGGGCTACATGGTGGAGTGGACCTGGGGGAGGGTTTGTAAAACAATGAAAGAACCTTTTCTTTTACTTTTCCATAATTTTTGACTCATGTACTTATAACTTGTTAGTCAAATTTGTGTCTTCTAGGTTGCAACACCCCCATGATACATCTTCAAGGATATGAACATGTATGGCCAAGCACAATCAATAAGAGTGCATCTAAATTCCAAAATCAATCTCCATAATAGTCTATGTGTTTCCTACTGCCAAAGGGGCCCTTTAGAGTAGTGAGAGAAGATCTTCACCCTGAAACCCACAGCATCCCTTTTCAGCAGGAAGTAGCTAAGAGAATACGCCATCCCCTTTTCCTTATGAATTTTCCTTATGAGAGAGACTTGTGAAGTCTCTCTCAGGGAGGAGTGATAGGGAATGGCAAAGGACACACCGACAAAGGAGATTAATCAGAACTGACTTTGACAAGCACTGTGGCAATTGGACAATTAAAACAGACATTCGGATGGCGGGGAAGAACAAACTGGGGAGGAGGGTAGAGAGAACGGTGCAGCAATGAAGGAGTAGAAACTCAAAGTCCCTGTAAATGTTCATTAAAACTAATAAAATTTAATAATAATAACAAAAAAAATACATCCAGGAAACCTCCAGTATGAAAAACAATACATACAAACTTTGTAAGCAAACCAGTATAAAATAAAAATTTAATAAAAAATAAAATAAACTTAAAAAAAGATGTGCAAGCTTTTCCCATGCAAACTACAGCCTCAACAACCCAGTGGAGCGAAGTGAAGAGTCAGTTCCTACTCAATAGCAAACAGTAGTCAGTAAATCGAATTATCAAACTATACCAAATAAACATTGGCAATTTTGCAGTTTATTAGGTTATCTTTATATTTTTATATTTAACTCAAATATAGATGAAATAAGGATTATACATACTTAGAAGAAACTGCCTCCATGAATTCATCCAGAAAATCATCATATTCGTGACCCCTCACTCTTCTCTGCCGTAGTCCAATGTACAATGGGTCATTTAGTAACTCCTATTTCAAAGAATAACAAATGTTATAATGGATATAGAAACAATTGCAATCTAATTAATTACTCTTTCGGGGCCCTAGCTTCCTCATCTGGACAAGTGGAGTAGAAATAAAACACTGTCATACTGATTCAGAATTATTATAACCTACAGACTTTTCATAGTATCATTATTTAGAATACATTTATGGTAGTTATACAGCAAATATACATACATTAGCTCTGGGGAGCTCTGGTGGCCTAGTGGTAAGAAACTACACAAGAAGCTCAAAGTCATGTAATCTGAATCCACCAGTTTCCCCAGAGGAGAATGAAGAGACTCTTGCTTCTGAAAACCCACTGAGTTTTGGAAGTCAGCTATGAATTGGTTCTGATCCGACAGCATACAAGAACAATACAGCAAATAAGGAAAAATAATTACTAAACCATGAACATATTATAAGGCTCCCCCCACCTCAGATGGAGAGTGCAGCATTCAAGGGGAAACTGGTCTCCAGTCACAATGTGGAACATCAAGGCCAATTACACACTTAAGAGAGGCAGGCCACACAAAAGAAAGATTCTCACCCAGCTAGGAGAGAACTGAGAAGGCAGGTGCATTAGAATTACCCAGGGGTGCCCTGCTTCCTTTAATCCAGACAAAAAGTGCAGCTATAGTCAGGAGGAACCTGGTCTCTGGTCATGCTACAGACCACTGAGAACAATTATAGACTTTATGACAGGTAGACTGCACATGGGAGAAATTCTCACCAAACTAAGCATGACCTGAGAAAGCAGGCATATAGGGGGGTATCAGGAGCTACACCCATCGCCTTCCCCCTGCTCCCATAGAGAGTGGGAACATAGTCAGGGGAACTGGATCACCAGCCTCGACTGACCACCAAGGATGATAACAGACTCTAGGAGAGGTCTACTGTCTTCAGGTGAGATTTCCACAGGGCTTCACTGTAGACTAGAGAGAAACTGAAGGACTTTAAAAAAGGCTAGCTTTCCCACAGCACAGGACCAGAAAGGACTCCTGGTAAAGCAAGTTACCCTTCCTAATAAAGAGAACATTTTAAGTTTGCAACTAATCAATAGTAGAACTGTCAACAACTTATGGAGACACAATAGAAACGGCTTAATGTATAATGAGAAAAACTTCACATAATGACAAGAAAGCAGCAAACAGTTTTAAACATTGTGAAAAAAGAAAACAAGCCTTCTCCTAAAAAAGGAGGTAATACTTAAGACATAATGAATACCTCAGAGACAGAGAGGAAATTTATAGACATGGGATAATATGAACAAATACTGAAAAAAGAATTGAAATAATGGGTAAAGTGTTACAAGGATTTGAAAAAATTCATCAGAAGACAGAGTACAATCAAGTCAGTACTGGAAACACCAGAAATGCATGAAAATGCAATCCAGAATATCAAGTAAAAAAATGCAAGTTTCCAACATGTTGGAGGGGCAAAGAAAGCAAAACAGAAGGGATGGTACAGTCAGCAAGCTGCAAGACAAGAATCTCAATGGGAGCACACCAGAAATAAAAATAGAGGAGACAAAAGGAAAATGAAGAAAATATTAGAATTATATGGGATAACACCACGAGGAACAACATTCATGTGACCAGAATTCCAGAGCAGGAGGAAAGCAGAGAAAGCACTGAGAAAACTGTGGAAGATATACTAGAATAAACTTCATAGGTATCATGAAAAATGAGGGAATCCACAGTCAAGAAGCTCAAGAGAACTCCAAACAGACTAACCCACCCCAAAAAAGAAGCATTAAGACATATCATTGTCATATTCTCCAAAATCAAGGATAAAGACTGCTAAAAGCAGAGTGAGAAAAACAGTAAGACACCTATGAGGGAAAAGAAATTAATTTTTTATTTCTCAGCAGAATCTATGCAAGCAAGAAGAAAAAGGTTTAGCATACACAGAAAGCTGAAACAAAAAAAAAACAAAACAAAAAACAAACCAACCAAACTGTCAGCCAAAGATCTTATACCCAGCAAAGCTATCTATCAAACAAGAAGGATAAATGAGGTCATTTGCAGAAAAGCAGGAACTTAAGGGATTTATGAAAAGAAGACCAACTCAACAAGAGTTGAGAAGACTGTCACACAGAGACAGTAAAGGAAAGGAGATGAACCAAAGGAACAAGGGGGAAAAAAAGAAAAAGAAACACAGCAATAAAACTGGCCTGTCAATAATCACATTCAATGTGAATGGCTTTAAATGATCCAATTAAGAGAAAAGGAGTAGCAGAATGTATTTAATAAACAAAACCAAAGCTTATCAATATGTTGCCTAAAACACACCTAACACGCATCTAACAAGATGAAGGGAAAGATAGACTAAAAGTCAAAGGCTGGGAAAAGAAATAAACCACACTAACTGCATACACAAAAAATCAGGAGAAGCAATACCAATCTCTGGAAAAATAGACTTCAGAATGAAAAGCACCATAAAAGATAAGGAAAGGCATTATATACCAACTAAAGGCATAATATATCAAGAAGACATAATCTCAGTCAATGTCTATGTATCAAATGATAGACCTGCAAAATACATATAACAATGGTTAAAGACTTGAAGAAAGGAACAGACAGGACCTCAGTAGTGGTGACTATTGTGAGGAGCCGTCAAGTATGACTCAGAGAGACCCTATGAGTGGACAACTTGAAACTTGCCCTATTATCCCCATCATCTCTGACACACTAGAGCCCATTGCTGAAGTTATTGTGTCAATCTCATCTCACTGGGAGTCTTCCTTTCCTTCACAGACTCTTCATCCTTCCAAACATGATGCCCTTTCCAATGAACAGCTTTGCCTCACTACATGCCCAGAGTATGTAAGATGAACCTTTGCCTTCAAGGAGTTCTCTTGCAGCATCTTTTCCAAAACACATCAATGTGTCCTTCTGACAGACCATGTGACCAGTACTCTTCTTCAGCACCATAACTCATAGGCATCAATTCTCCTTCTGTCATTCTTATTCATTGTCCAGCTCTCTGATGAATAGCAGGTAATTGAGAAGACCATCACCTGAATTAGGTGCACCTTAGTCTTCAAACTGACATCATTGCTCTTAATATTTTGGTGAAGTCTCTGACAGCCGATTTGCCCAATGCAATAATGTCTCTTGATTTCCTTACTACTGGTGTTGGCTGTTGATACCAGCAAGATGAAATCACTGATGGCACCAATCCTTTCTCCACCTATCATAATGTTTACTGTTGGTCCCATGGTGAGGACCTATTTTTGCCTTCTTGATGTTGAGATGCAAACCATTCAGAAGGCTGTAGTCTTTGATTTTCAGCAGCAAGCATTTCATGTCCTCTTCACTTTCAGCAAGCAAAGCTGTTTATCATCTACATCATGCAGGTTGTTGATGAGAATGTACTGTTCCAGTAATTTTTAGTTTGGTTTTTCAGGAGTACATTGCATAGTCTTCTTATGGATTACTGGCTGAGGTAGGTAACAATTAATTTTTGATGATTTTTAAAAAATAGTTTAATTTTATATTGGTTTGCATATAAAATTCATATGATACTCAAGAATATTTTGCTTGCAGGAGATATTAATGATAGTGTTCAATAATTCCCACATTGTGTTGGATCATCTTTCTTGAGTATGAAGATGAATATGGTTCTCTTCCAGTCAGTTGTCCAGATAGCTGTCTTTTAAATTTCCTGGCATATAGTAATGAGCACATCCAGGACAGCATCTGTTAGCTGAAACATGTCAACTGGTATCCCATCGATCCCTGGGTCTTTATTTGTTGTTCAGGAAAGCTTGAACTTCAATCTTCATTACTGGCTCTTTACTTTCTGAAATTTTTCTGTGCTGGATAAGCTAATTCTTTTTGGTAGCATGATTCTGTGTATTCCTTCCATGTTTTTTTAATGCTTCGTGGATCATTCAAGATTGTGTCCATAGTATCTCTCGGTACTAACTACTCAAGCCTTGAATTTCTTTTTTCAATTCTTTCAGCTTGAAAAATGTCAAGAGTTCTTCTGATTTTATTCTCTGACTCAAGCTCTTTGCACATTTTGTTATAATATTTTGCTCTCTCTTCTTGAACTGTACTTTTAAATCTTATTCAGTTCTTTTACTTTGGCCTCTTTTCCTTTTATTTTGGCTTCTCAACACGTCTTAAAATATAAAGCCTATAGGAATTTTTTTTTATAGGAATATTTTTAACAAGTAAGACCTACACACTGGAAACAAGGAAAAAATGCTAAAAGAAATTAAAGATGACTTTTGCAGGCTGGAAAAAAGTATATAAGAACTCATGCCACATAACACTGAAACAGTGGAATAGAAAAAATTTACTTAAGGGACTAGTACATTTTACTTTGGAGACTTCCATGTAGAACACTAAATGTGTAAATTGGCTCAGCTGAATGATAAGGTACTTGAAAACAGATGTTTGGTTTTTAAACAAAAATGGAAACTGAGAGAACCTAGACTAGTAAAAGATTTCTAAAGTAAAGTAAGGCCTGAGGACAAAGCTCCTATGAAAGATCTGATTTTAACTATTTGAAAAACCTCTAATGAATCAAAGTGGAGCATCATGGACTCTGGTACCCTAAAAGTAGAGAGGTGCACTGCCAGCCCAAAGGCATGCAGTTTTGAATCCACCAGCCGCTTTAAATGAGAAAGGCAATTTACTGCCTCTAAAAACCTGTCAGCAGCTTTAGAGGCAGTAAATTGGGTCCATTTCAACTTGAGAGCAAATAGCAACAATAGAGTATGGCTAGACAAGAGGAATGGGCCCCACAGCACTCTGACCTGCCACTCAGTGTTTATAGATGGTCTATTTAGAAAGGAATTGTGGGAGAGGTCTTTGTCTAATAAAAACAGTTTTCAGAGTGTCATTCTAACTTGGATCAACAGGGACAGAAACACTTCAACCTAAAAATACTTCTCTGGGTTTCTGACTACACAGGCACGAAGCAGAGTAAGAAAGTGATTCAGCTGCAAACAGGGGTCATTTCTTGCAGAACAA